TCAGCAGCTGAGGCCATATATGAGTTGGGATCCAACATGGGACATAGGCTGAGTTCTTGTCCCATTTCAACTTCTCATCCCTGAGATTGTCACTCCATCTATGTTTCATATAATTTAGGAATGCATCTCGCACATGGCGATTATTTGCAGGATCCCACTGGTAAAGTGTCTGCAAAATAAGAAATAAATAACATTAGATGTCTAAGAAATGTAAATTCTAATTTAATAATGAAATTATTTATTTTTATTAGAAATTACTAAATTCATTCATTTTATTAAATTTGCTAAAACTTAATCTTACCTTGAAACAATTATAAATTTAAACAATCTTGCTATGGGGGACACGCTCGTATGTGAAATAGAGGCCATCAAAACGTGACTTCCACAGTGAAGTGATAGCCCGAGAGATGTTTGGATCAGCAAACTGGAGCTTATCATCAGTGAGTTTAACCCATTTCTTGCTCTCTCTATTTTCTGGAGGGCGTATTCCTTTGAAATTCCTGCTCCATCCTTTTTTCCCCGTCGAGGATGAAGGGCCCTCGTTCTCATGATCAGGTGCAAAATTATAATTCATTAATGGATCAATCGTTTGCTGTATATTCGGAGCTACGCTACTGTTAGTAAACAGCTGTGGGTGATTAAAATTGTGTTGCTCTTGTGATCCTGAGGAGGAAGATCTCCTCCTTGCTGAACCTACAGGATTTCCAGACATCCTGAAAAATGAATAACAAAATAGTTATTAATACATTTATACAAATAATAAATAACAAATTTAGAACAATCATACAATAATTCTATTTTAAATGAAAAATATATAACTTGATAAAACAATATATGTAAGACAAAGAAATTTTAATACATATATTTAATAAGTAATAATACAGATGTTTCGATTAATCATCACTATCATCACTATCGTCACCATCCTCAACATTATCACTATTTCCTGAGGATTCTGAATCTTTTTCTTCTCCATAGTCCTCCTCTTCTTCAGATGTATTAGCATCAACCTCAACTTTTGTAACACCTTCTGCAAATATTTGAAGTGATTGGTATGCAGTTAAATCTATAGCTAATGAAGAGCCTTGCATTATGGAGGGGTCATCATCTTGAAAAATATCATCAACATCTCCTGAAGATGAGGTAGATGAGGTCTCAATTACATGTCTAGATTTGATTTTACATGTTGCCAACCATCCCTGGGTAGTTCTATCCGTGGCTGCCAGATATGGAGTATAATAAACTTGTTGTGCTTGACTAGCAAGGCAAAATGGCTCCCCCGTTGAAAGTTTAAGCCTTGGATTAACATCAACAATTCCGTGTTCAACATTAACACGTATTCCTCGGTTCGTGTTATACCAATCATAATTAAACAATATTATAGTCTCTTGATGGCCTAAGTGTCCATAATACACTAACTCGATCACCTTTTTTAAGACACCATAATAATCAGTTTCATCTGCAGAATTAATTGTGGTTCCTTTAACACAAACACCACAGTTATAATCAGTTTCACGAAAGTCATTCCTTTTATCATGGTGTGTATCTTGGCTATGTGATGATTCTCCTAGATTAGTAGCAGACCATGGATCTACTGAATCCACAAATGTCTCACCATGTGCCCACCAAACAAAATAAGCATTCATAAAACCATACTTAGTAAGATGGTCCCATACCATTTCCCAAGTTATCAACGGTAAATTAAAACATTTAGTACAAGGACATCTGATTAAATCATTCGGTTGACGACCAAGGCTATTGTATGCAAATTGAAGGAAATATTCAACTCCACTATAGAACTCATTATATATCTCTCCT